CCAGATCCGCACAATCTTTGAGGAAGTTCAGGATGGGAAGGTGATTTCCTCCCGCGAGCAGATCACCCAGGCAGCCCACTGAGGTGGCTGCAAGCTCGCTGCAGACCTCGCTCAGCAAAGCCAAAGGCAATTCCAGCTTCTGTGCTCTGGCTCCGAGATCACAAAAAGCAGCTTCTCTTTTCTCACACCCGCTCCCCTCACCCTTTCTCATAGCGCTCAGGAATCAAATAAAGCTTTTCTTCACAATCATGCAAACCTGGCTCTTGTCTTGTTGCTCTGAAGAGCCAGGCTGTCCCACTGCTGGAGCTGTAGGACAAAGCTCCTCTCTGGAAAGAGGAATATTGTCCATCTTTGGTACTCAAACAGTGGGGCCACTATACCTACACTGCTACCATACCAGAGCCCTGGTTACTCAGCAAAGACAGCTGATATGGTGGAAGTCTAGAAAGGAACCGATTACATGGGCCATGGGAGGTGGAACTTTGACAGTCTGTGTGTCCCCTCAGATGTGGCACTGCGAGTTTCAGGACAGAGCAAAGTGCCGCTTCCCCGGTTGCAGTGTAATGCAGCAGCAGAGCTGAAGCTTTCAACTTGCTGAGCCCGAGCAAACAGGTGAACAAATCCCAGGTGATGCAGGCAGGACCCTGCCAAGGATTCCCTTCCCTGCTCTGCTCAGCAGTTCCCATGCTCCAGCTAAACAGCTTTGGGGTAACATGAATTCAGGTGTGGAGGTCGCAGGATCCACTGGCTGATGCCCCTCCAGAAGTACCTCAGCTCAGTTTAATTCTCGCTTCCAAAGAATTGCTAAAGGGTGAGGAAATGAGTGCTGGTGAGTGCTGGGTATGGTCTACCCAAGCAAAAAGATGGAAACTCTCCCAGGAGTGATTCTGGCCTGCGGCTGCCGGGGGGGGGGGTCGCGCAATGGCCCTGACACAGCAGCCCACACTGCTGTCAGCCGGCCCAGCTGTTCCTTGAAAGCCAGTTCAGACACATTCTTGGCTGGATTCCATCCCAGTTATTACTTCATAAATCCAGCTCCTAAATCAATGGGATGATTCAGAGAAACACCACTGCATGTGCACAAGAACAGAGTTGGCCACAGCGCTTTAAGACCCCTGTCCAGAAAACCTGCCTGCATTTTATGGGCTGATAATAGAGAATTCTTTGGGGTTTTTTAAACATTGAAAGGCTCCCTGCAGTGCATCATCCACACCATAAGCTGAAGCAGCAGGGTGCACGGGCTTGAGCTCTGTGCAGTGTCAGTGATGGCTGTATCCTCTTGTCCATGCAGAGCAGATCCTCAGTGATCCTCTGCCACCCCAGAGCGATCCAGACCAAGCCGCCTCCAAGGACTCCACACTCAACTTGTGGTAGACACAGCTTTGGTTCTGAAGCTTACCACTGACCAGCAGTGATCTCATTTCCACCCACATTCCACCAAAGGACATGTAAACACAGCCCAGTGGTCAGGAGAACGGCTCCCACTGCTCGTCTGTTGCACACCCTCGTGGTGCAGCCTGGACAGGCCACGAGTAAATACCAGGCACAATTCCCAACCCAATGCGCTTCCAGGCACAGCGTCCCTGCAGTGCTACAGACTGTGCTCTCTCTGCTCCCAATCCCTTGAAGGAGGGAGCCCTGCCCATCCCAGGGCCTTTCCCCAAGGCTGCTCCATGCTCCAGTGTGGAGGAGCCCAAGCTGAGATACCTGGGAAGGGCAAGGTCAGACTCAGCCGGGGCTCCCCAGGTCAGCTCTTAGGGACCCACTGTTCTCCCCACAGGTGGTGCAGGGACCATCAGCACCTCTCGCTGCTCCCCTTGAGCAGCCACCTTTGCAACACCCACCATGTGGATACTGAAGGTACCTTGCTGGAATTCATCCTTCATGGCTTTCCCCTGGAAAAGTCCAGGCACACCCACGTTGCTATAGAACCAACTAACATTTTGCTAATAAAATCCCCTGTTTTAACTACTTCTGGTACTGCAAATGGGGAGGGAGGTGTGGAAAACACATGTTGATTCTCTCCTGCCTTAAGCATTAATAATTAGCCCTGACCTTAAGAAGCTGCTGAGGAGGGAGCTGCAGGTGCTGGCTTATGCAGTTAGGCAGCAGCAGTTTGAGGCAGGTTTCAGAAAGTGGTATTTTATTCCAGAAAGACAGTTCTACTTTCAGGTTACACTGAGATAATCTGACTATTAGAAAGAAGCATTAAGGTGTGGCTTTTCATCTTGTTCTAGGGAACCTTCCATGATAATTTGATACCAGGGCACATTTTATAAGCTCATTAAAATAAGCAGAGAGATATTTTTGTCCAGGTAGTTTCATCTACCAGATCTACTGATACGTGTATTTGGAGCCAGAGCTTCACCTCCATTTTCCTCCTGAATGAGACAGAATTGCAAGTTCAGCCACCAATGTGCTACCATGAAATCACTGTTATGCCAAAGAACTGCCATTCTGATTTTGAAATGTACAAAAAAGAAGCTCAGAGTGTGCATGTGCTCATGAAACAGAGTCGGAATCTGAGTTAATAGCCTTTTTTTTAAAAGAGAGTGTGATACAAACAATATGCAGTCATTTGTGGTTATGTTCAATGGGACATCATGGAAATCATGTCTTAGAATTTTTCATGTGGTTTTAAGTCTTAATTAACACTTCATGACTTTAATTGCTGCCTTGTGGGATTATCAACATAGCGCAGATATTTTGAGCAATGTGTATTTTTATGACACAGCAGTTAAATAGGAAACAAAAGATGAAAGAAAAGGCGCTTTCATGTAAAGGATGAATATAGAATCATAGAATTATAGAATCCCAGACTGGTTTGTGTGGGAAAGGACCTTAAAGCTCATCCAGTTTCAAACCCCTGCCACGGGCAGGGGCACCTTCCACTAGGGCAGGTTGCTCCAAGCCCCTGTGTCCAACCTGGCCTTGCACACTGCCAGGGCTGGGCCTTTGAATCCTCCCGGGGATGGGCCAGCCACAGCTTCTCTGGGCACCCTGTGCCAGCGCCTCAGCACCCTCCCAGGGAAGAACTTCTGCCTCAGAGCTCATCTCAGTCTCCCCTCTGGCAGGTTAAAGCCATTCCCCTTGTCCTGTCACCTCTGCTAACCTTGGGTGTTGTGACAGTTATCCATCTTACAGCAAGTCAGTGGGAAGCCAATCGCTCCTGCTGGATGGCTGGTCCGAAAGGTCTTACCCAGGTCAAGGTTTGGGCTTCACAGGGGCTCTGTGCTCATTTTGTCACCGACATTCCCCCTTCTCTGTGCCACTGTTGCACTTTGCCAGGACAACCCACGAGTTCTGCCCCTTTGCATCACCCAGGTGAAGGTGAGGAGATGGAGACGGGAGAATGCACGTTCCTTGGAGCCGTTGTGCCTTTCCCATCTGCACCAGGGAGGACGGGCAGGGAGCAGGCGCCCGCTGGCTTCACACCCCATCCCCTGGCGCTCACACGACAAGAAGATGCCATTGCCAAGATACTGAACCCATCCTCTGGCCAGAGCAAACACAGCCAAGATTCCAGCTCTCCAGGTCTCCAAGATGTACAGACTTGTCTCTATTTGTGGCCAACTCCTGATATTCCCAGGACTCCTATATCATTTCCAGCTTTCTTCAGATAAAGTGAAGGGAGTCATGCCCCTTAAAGCTACTTAGAAATGTACCTTTGCTGCTTATTTCCATGTTCTTTCCCCCCTCCTTTGGCAAATGATCTAAGGAAGAACTTGGCTGTTGGGAAGGGGTTGTTGGGGCCTGTCTGTGAAGACAGTTAAACAATTCACCATGTACACACTTGAGAAATATCTTCTCCTCCACACCCTGCATTACTAGCTAGTGACACTGAGATCTGTGGTTTCTGCCTGTGATGCAGGTCAGTGCAGGGAGTAGCCAGAGGAGCTTGACCATGCCGGGTGCACTCGTTCTTTGAGCCTTTTTGCTCCTGAGAGGCAACTGGTCTCTCTCCTGCTGCTCTGTTTACATGGGAATTGTAAACTCCAAACTCACACTGAAGTTTGTCCTCCCTGGTCATAACTGAGATGTTCATCACAGAAAACATCGTCAGCATTAGCTGCTAAGCTTTGTCACTGTCAACTCAGTGCTCTTGTTCACCATGCTTAGAGACCAGGAGCTTTTTTCTTTACATCCTTCAGCTACCTTTTGCTATCCCACATTATTTCCTGGAGCATCTCATAGATTTTAACTCATGCCAGCTAGTAGCCATACCCTGCCTTCCTTAATTGTTTGCTGGGCTCTCATTCACAAAAAACAACACAAAGTATCCACTGCCTATTACCTTTTCATATTCTTCCCCTCTTGGGTGGTCTCCGAAGCAAAGTGAAGAACTGGATGAGCCCTGAAGCATGAACTCCCTCTTTATTGCTTTTTCATTACAGAACATCGCTCTCCTTGTGGATAAAAGGGCGGACTGGTCTTTCCAGGATTGGTAGCCAAGTTCCTTCTAGCACCGCCATACTCACGAGACGGTGATGTATATTCAGGGATTCATGACACAGTGGTTGTCCCTGCATGTGTGCTGTGTGTAAAGCCTAAGTAGAGACAGGAAACCGTAGTAGCTGGGACAAAAAGACACAGTAAAAGGTGCTAAATTACTCTATCAAAGCGCTGCCTGAGTAGCTCTGTTCCAGAGCTAACAGTACAAAGCAGTATTAAAATGTAGCCTTGAGCAAGGAGCCTCCTCCTTTGAATCACACCTAGGTATTTACTTGGAAACGGAAGAAGCATAAAGACGCCCTTTGTGAGATAAAACATTTCTATTGGAATATGACAAAAAGCATCAATAGAACAAAGGCAAAAATGATGATTCTGAAAGTTGGCTCAGATTTTCAGAATGATGAAAATCATCGGGAATGCAACAGGAGAAAAAAACACGGGCAACGCCTCCTGCCTGGGCTATAAAGGGCTCCAGGCCAGGGGGGAGCCAGCACTCGCTGCCTGCGCTGCCAAGCCTCTGCCTCTCTGCAGCCCTACAGCCTCCGCCAGCCTTCACCATGAGCACCACTGTCAGGCAATACTCCTCCTCCATGTCCCTCAAGGGACTCGGGGGCCTGGGAGGAGGATCCAGAAGG